GGGGCCTCTGTCCTTGCTGTGGCTTATACAAGTGTCCCATCAGAGGCCATGTGGTAAAGGCATGGCCCTACAGTGGTGCTATTGGGAGATGGTGGGCTGTTTGGAGAGTGGGATCTGGTGGGAGTGATCTCAGGTCACCAGGAGAGAGTCTTTAAGGGACTGGGAGACTGTTATCTCTTCTTTTTCTTGACCTCGTGACTCATGACTGGGCGGGTATTCCCAACCTTGAATGGGAACTTCTAAAATTGTCATTGACGATAAACATTTTGCCTTTATAAGTGAATTATTTCAGGTACCTTGTTATAGTGATGGAAGCAGATTACTATAACGATCTAGTACCAGGAGTGAGGTCTTGGCTATAGCGTTGTCTGGCACTATGTTGAGAAGCCTTTGGTTTGTAGGAGGAAGTCGGAGGAGCAGCTAGAGGAAGCCTAGAATGCTGTAAGGAGAGCTTACTGGACAATTCTTGGAGGGCTCAGAAGACTAAACACTGAAAGAAATGGGCAGTAGGGAACGGATGGGAATGAAGGTGCTCCTGGGAACGGGGCAATAGGCTGTCCTTACTGCACTATGGCAAAAATATAAATGACTGCATTTAAAAAGCATATTTATTATTTCTATTTTATGTGTCTGAGTATTTGGCCTGCCTCTAGGTTGGTGCAGCTGTATCATGCAGTGCCCGCAGAGGCCAGAAGAGGGCATCGGATCCCCCGGAATTGGAGTTAACAGACAGTTGTCAGCTGCCCTGTGGGTGCCGGTAATCGAATGCGGGTCTTTTGCAAAAGCAGCCAGTGCTCTTAACCGCTGAGCCACCTCTCCAGTCCCTAAATGACTGCATTTTTCCGTGCCCTGAGACTCAGTAGAAGACTGAGTTTAAGGTGACAATTTAGCTAGTGGAGAGAATTTAAAGGCAACACAGCACTCGGGCAGAGGCGGGGGTGCAACTGTTTTTAGTCAAATTTATAGTGAGAAACCACAGCAAAGAGCAACAGAACAGCAGGATCTGGGACTTTGGCAGCATGGCCTGGAAAGGCATATATATGTGTGTGTGTGAGCCTATGTGTGTGAGTACGTGTGTTTGTCACAGCCAGAGTGGGTGTGGTTAAGCCAAGGGCCTCAGGTCTCCACCATAGGCTCAGAGGTGTAGAAACTCAAGCTTGTTTCAAGACTTTACAGGGCAGGATTTCTTTTCCAAGAGCCCTGGGCTTTCCGCATGCCCAGAACTGCCCTGAGTCAGATCTTTTTCCTGTGTTGAGTCAGTCAAGTGTTCTAAGACTGTATCCATGGTTCAGACCTCCAGCTGGCAGCACACCTTCACAAGGCCTATATGACTCCAGCTCTGTGGACACACGGAAGTTAGGAGTTATTGGGCTGTGGAGGCGTCCGGTGTAATGTGCCTTGAAAAGCTATGGACAGCCAGCCCGGGAGAGTGGTCATGTGGGCTGCAACCAGCCATGCCATAGGATGGGGGTGCCCATGCTCCTGAGAGCTCATGTCTCAGGACAGTGCTCCCTGGATGTTGCATGTGATTTAGGGTTTCATGTTTTCCCTAGTGGGTCTTGGTATGATCCCTTCTTTCTACGTTCCCCATTCCTTACTCTTAGAATAGGAGCCCTGGTGTTGAAAGCTTGCAACTTTCTTCGTGATTTTGCAGGGCTCTCAGCTGAGTTTGTCAGGAATCACAGAGTGATGATTGGGTGATGCTGGGGAGGTGAGTCTTGGAGAGTCTTGGGATGGACTAAGCGTCTTTTCTTAAAATATTTTATTATTTTTATTTTCTGTGTATGTGTGTAATTGCCTGCATGTAGGTAAGTGCAACCGTGTTGTGCAATGCCTGCGGAAGACAGAAGAGACTGTCGGATCCCCTGGAACAGGAGTTACGGACAGTTGTTAGCTGTCATGTGGGTGTTGGGATTCGAACCCAGGTCTTCTGCAAGAACAGTCAGTGTTTTTATCTGCTGAGCCATCTCTCCAGCCCAGGACTGAGCACCTTTTGTATTTTGAAGTAGACATGAACCTTTTTTTTTGGGAGGGGTGGAATGCTGTTTTGGATGTTACGTGTCTCCTATAGGCCCCTGTATTATAGGCATTCCACTAGGGCAGGACCACAGAGAAAGAGACCTTCAAGTGATGGACCCAACTGGGGGCTTCTTGGGTCACAGGGAGAGCATCCCTGAAGAAGCCTGTGGGGCTCTGGTTTCTTCTGCTTCCTGGCTGTGAGGTGAGACATCTGCTTTGCCACATGCTTCTGGCCACTTCCAGCTGGTACCCAAAGTCCTGAAAGTCATGGACTGGAACCACTAAAACCATGAGACAGAATAGAAGTTTTCTCTTTTTAAGGTGATTATCTCAGAGTTTTATTACAGTAATGGTAAGCTGACTAACACAGAGCTTTATGTCCTCCTTTTAAGAAAACTATATTGCTGTAGTGGGTGACTTAGAAGGGAAAGTTTTGTGAATTTAAAATTTAAATTAAAAAAAATTTATTTTATTTCATGTAGATGAATGTTTTGCCTGCATGTGTGTAAGTGCACCTGTGCCATGCAGTGCTCAAGGAGGTCAGAAGAGGGGCGTCGGATCCCCTGGAACTGGAGTTAAGGATGATTGTTAGCCGCCATGTGGTGCTGGGAACCGAACCCTGGTCCTCTGCAAGAGCAACCAGTGCTCTTAACCGCTCTCCAGTCCCCTGAACTTGAGATTTTAAAATCATTTTTTATTGACATGTGTTCATTATTCACGGTGATAGGTTTTATGAAGTCATTTTCCATACAGATGTGGAAAGCACTTTGAGCTCCTCCACCCTCCACCCTCTCTTCCCCCGACTGCTCCCCTCATTTTCCTGGTCTCTTTTCTAGCTTCACATGCTATATGCATATACGGTTTTCTGTCTATATCAATTCTGTAATTCACAAATGAAAGAAAATAGTTTGTCTTTCTGAGTCTGACTTACTTTGCTTAAAATGATGATCTCCAATCCCATCCTTTTCCCATAACATGATTTCATCCTTCTTTATGGCTGAATGAAACTCCATGGTACATGTGTGCCGCATTTTCTCCACCCATCCACCTGGTATGGGCGTCTAGGTGACTCCATAGCTTGGCTATTGTGTGTAGTGCTGCAATAAACATAGACGTGCAAGTGCCCTTGTGACGTGTTGACTGGAGTCCTTTGAGTCCGGGAGTGCTACAGGTGGGTCTCTACTCCCCAACATCATGTCTTCCTTTTTTCCAAACCTAGTAACTTGTCTCTGATTTGTGCTGTTCTTATACTTCTGGATGTGGGACCATCCGCCCGAGTGTGGCCAGCCTACCTGGAGCCACAGCCTCAAAGAAAACTCCTGCAGAAGCCATCACCTGTCCACAGAGCCTCAGCTGGGGTGGGGGCTTGTGAACCCCTTCTCCTCCATGCTAGAATGTTGGCTGGCTTGATCCCATGCAGGTCTTGTGCAGGCAACTACAGCTGCTGTGCAGTCACAGGGTTCATACCTGGGTAATTCCCCCCAGCAGCCTACGTCACACCTTCCAGTACTATGAGGGCCAGCCAGCAGGAAGGAGGCTTCCTGGTCAGCACTAACTTGATTTCTCCATGTCTTGTGACCAATGTATGTGGTGTCTTCAGCAATAGGGCCTTACCATCAAGTTCTGGTGGGCAACCCAGAGCAGTGGCAATAGCCTGTATTGCTTTGGGGGTCTGCAGCACACCTCTGACCACCAAAAATGACTGCTTCCCCTCCCTCTCTTCTCCTCAGTAGACCTTAGCTGATAGCTCAGAATACAAAGAGAACAAGGGTCTGGGGGAGGGTTTTGGTGGGTGGCCAGTGTGGGAGAATCAGCACACTCCCTCAGACTTGAGCTGTCAGTCAGAGCAGAGAAAACATGTTTTTCCAAGTCTAAAACCACTCACAAATCATGGGTTGTAAATTACAACAACAAAAACAGTCCTGCTCAGAACTGACACAGCGTCCTTACCCGGCACGTATCAGAAGATTGTGGGCCATCTGCTGTGGGCTCTGGGGATGAGAAGGCTTGAGGTGCGGCTGGTGGTTGCTGTCCCTGAGTAGGATTCTTGGGGATAGTCCAGGGCACTGGCAGGGGCCCCCAACCACCAACAGCCAGCTTGGAGTCCGCAACGGGGGGATCAGTAATGCATGGCTTATATTTCCCTTAAATATCTGCTGAAAAATGAAAGGGAAATGGGGTTGGTCAAATGCATTTGGGTTTTAATCAGCCCAAAGCTATGTGAAAAAACAGCCTATGTGAAATACTCAAATAACTGAAACCACAGACGAGATCCTGCAACAGTGTGCCGGGGCCTGAAGTGTGGCGGGTAAGTTGGCTTCAGATCCGATCTGAGGGGGCCTGGGCCTCCTGGGCCAGGCCAGGTAGCTGCAGTTGGTGCCCACTCTGATGAGTCAGCAGGATGAGTTTATAACCTAAACTATAGGTGAGAAAAGCTGTTCTCCTAGCTTCCCTAATCAGAGAGGCTGTAAACAGCCTTCTACATGAAAGAATTTACACAGGAACCAGGAATGTATGGAGCCAGGGAGACCACCAAGCACCAGAATGCACACCCCACTGGGCCTGGGTCATAGGGTGGGTCAGCCATGAGATGGTATTAAGAGGGCTGCTATGAGGGACCCTCAGGGAGTCTGCTTGAAGATGCAGTCAGCATTGCCCCGAGACACTGTGGGACTCTTGGGGAAGTCATCCAGTCCTGTCCTCACATGTGAGAGGACAGACAGCAGGTGTCCATGTCAGTCACAGCTCTGCCTTGACGCTCATATCACATTCAAGTCTGAATGTCTGCTGGTCATAAAGAGCAGGGTGCAACATCCAGGCTCTATGGGAAGAAGTGTTCTGCATCACCCCTGGAAAACCAGACCGACCCCTTGATTCATATCCTGAGAGATAAGGATCAGCTTGGGTGAGAAAGGGAAATGACTGAGGTGCATCTGCACAGGGGGCAGGGAACCCCTCTGACTCAAGTTGGCTCTGCCCTTCATCTGTCTTCAGGTCTGCACAGCACGGGAGCCACCCACAAGCTACCTGCACCTGCAGGCATTGGCCATGGTGGCCAGGTGGGCTGCAGGGCGTCTGTCAAACTAGGTCTGTATGCCCGATCAGGTGAGCTCTCCAGGTCCTTGGCCCACCTCACAAGCTCCTCACAGCCACTTCTTCCTCCCAGGTGGAAACCGATGGAGACAAAGAGCCCTGGGTCTCTGAAACTGGAAACTGGCACCCAACTGAGCTGTAATCCTGGAGGCCTACAAGAGAACATGGACTCTTCACAGAACTACTGCCAGGCTGATGTCCTCAGAAAACCCGGGTGAACCTGAAGCACGTATGTGCAAGTTAGTGAGACCAGACCCCCGCTTTGGGACAAGAAGAGACCCCATGCTTGTCTGGAGCCTCTGCGGACTCTGTCAACAGTGGCTGGGGTTGCTGATCAGAGGAGGCTGATGAGACACACACCTGGCAGCAATTGCAGCCAAGGCCTGCCAGCAGTTTCCAGGACTTGGCTGGGCTTGCAGCACACCTGGCTGGTCTGCAGCTCTGAATGGGAGCCTAGCTTCTCCAGCAGCTTCCTGAGTGAGCAAAGGTAGATTCCCATTCAAACCAGAGCCTCTGCAGTCAGCTCTGATTCTAGAATCCAGAGACCTCTGTGGGCACAGATCTATATACCAGATATCCTAGGAGGAAAAAGGGACATTAGGGAAACCTTGTGTCCCCTCCACTGCAGAGGAACACCACAGTTAGTAACTTTAACAGATAACAGATTACTTCAGGGACTCGCAAGACTTTTTTTTTTACAGCTGGGTTGCCTCAGGCATCTTCCTGTCTGGTTTAAACCTGTCATATATATATAATTTTTTTTTAAGCAAAACTAAACCAAACACTGCAGGCCTGTTTTCGTTTGCTCCTGTCCTGAATGCTCACTCATGTCTAAACTCTCAACTGGTGCTGGGCTGCTCCTCTGTCCTCAGGCAGTCAGGGCTCTTTGTGCGTTAGACTGGAGACTCCCAAACTCTCTCCCTTGTCGGAACCCAGTGGGTAAGGCTCAACAGTCTGGTGTGCAGGGGGGCAGGTGTCCAAGTCTCTGCCCATAGAATAGGGGCCACTATGTGCGGGTTCATCCATCTTATCTACACAATTTGTTAAACTTTCTGGGCCCAGTGCTCATCTCTGCTTAGCTGAGTGACTCAGAACTGAGGCTCTACCATCCGTCAAAGGCTCTTCCTAGCCCCAAGGTCCCCTAGGAGGAGCAGAAACCTGAGCACCAGCAAGGCCAGCTCAGGGGGAGTCTGTTTATCACTTCTGTTGGTTTATGTTTCTGGGCAAGTGTTCTTTTGAAGAAAGGACTCCAAATGCAAGGCTAAAATCAATGTCTGGAAACCCATACTCTAGGCCTTGGATGGCTGCTGTGTGCTTAGTGTGCTAAAATAAATGCTGTTCTGTTCCACTGTGTTTCAGTCCAACTGGCATTCATCATCTCCACTCTATGCCAGCAACCTGCCCCACAGACAGCAGGACTTGAACACAGGCACACCCCATGAGGAAGCCCAGCAGAGCAGGATGACCCAGAGAATGGAGAATTCTGCATCACCCACTATCCAGCATTCAGGAACAGTCATCAGAAAAATGACTTTTGAGTTCACAAAACTTCAGCTTGGAAGCCAATGAAAATCTAAAATACCATCCTCCAGAGACAACAAAGGAGTCACATGGGTGAGTACCTGGGTAGACTAGATTGAACCATCTTTTAAAAAAATTTTTTTAAAATAACAACATGATTAGAAGAAGCATTTCATTACAGCTTTAACATATTCAGAAACACACTCCAGAGCAAGGATACATCTCTTTCAAAAGTGGCTGTAAATTTTTAGGTTCACAGTTGAATTAATACAGTTATACAATATTGAACTCAGTATAAATCCTATAAGACATAAAATT